GTGAAGTATCTTGTGTTTAAACACAGAAATTAAATACATTTTTCATCTTTGGAGTACAGTAAAACTCAACCTTGCTAGAGTGTCATCAGAATTTATTTACTGTGAGATCTGGAAATGTCTGATGAATTTTTCAAGTGCAAGAAAGTTATTGTCAAATTGCTTATGTGTATGCTACCAGCAGTTAAAACAGGGAGGAGACTGGAAATCAGTTATCTTCTCTACCATTGATTTAAGGGGTTATTTCTTATAAAAAGACCTCACAATCTAAAAAACCCATCTGCCTTCATAATGATAGGTATCCATCTGATCTGAATCATCACCAAGCGCACATATCACTGAAAATGAGGGAAACAGCTCAGGAGAATGAAAGAAGCAGGAGCATACAGGATCACTGGTGTTCGCCAACTGCGATAAAATGCCCTGGGCAAAGGAATTGCCGTGCTGATTTTAGAGAAACACCACATTCAGTAGACCTTCATCTCCACTTGTACAGTCAGAAATATTTAAACGGTTCTTAGTATAATCAGAAAGATTTAAGTGGTTCTTAGACAGCAATATTTTACTTGCAAATTAATGCAAGTCTTCTGACTCTACTACTTGGACTAAGTGAACTGGTGCAGTACGGTAATGCCCACTGCCTGCATGTTACAGCACGTGCTACATAAACACGTCTCTCGTTCGGTTTTGACTTCCAGCTCTAAGGAAAGGTTCCAGTACTGGTGATACTGCCCTGTTGTGACTGACAGAGTAAAGCAACAATTAAACTAGACAATGCAATAAAGAAGTCAAAAAGGGAGAGAAGACACTTAGCGCATCTTCAGGCAGACCTAGAAAGAACAGACATTTAAACAAGTTCCAAATCCCAAATCATTAATTTTGTTTAATGTACAAAGAGGGTTCCTCCCGGTCCACAGTTCTCAGAGAGAAAGGGCAGCCTGGGCAACGGACATCGGATTAAAGATTTTTTTAAATGTCGTATACACAGCTTGGGGAAGTTACCTGTTGCCAGGACCTCTGTTTAACTCGGGTACTTCTGACAACTGCTTGGAACCTAGGGTCCAAAATCTATTGTGAGATGCAATAAATGGAGAAAAAGGTTCAAATCGTTATGTTGTATACATCTGCAAATAGCTCTACCGCACAGGCATTAACAGAGTAAACTTTCATGCAAGGAATGTATTTATGTTTTTCAAGTCTAACTTCAAAAGAAACAATCAACCAATCTCCTTGGGGAGCAATCAATGTTTTTTACCCTCTAGAGAAAGTAAGCCGTACCAGCCATATAAAACACGCTATACATGATTATCTTCATAAATTAGAACATGTTGTTACTTGCAGTAATAGGGCTTGTACCAGATGTTTAGTAAATCAGGCCTTAGTCAGAGAGGATTATTTCTGGCAGCAAAGGCTAGCAATCTGTGGAGTGGGATGTCATGAAATTAAATTCATGAGAAGGATTTATGATACTAGTCTCTGCCCTACTCCCCAAAAATACCAAAACCTGTCTCTCAAGTACTGCCTGTTTCTTAGTTTGAGACACTAAGAACAGGAAATATATACAGCTATGATCAAATGACCACAAAGCTTTACTGAGCTTAAGTTTCAGCTTCTGTTTGCTTTAAAAAAACCTGTGAAGACTAGTTTTCTGTGACACAGTACAAAATACATCAATATACATTTAATCATAACTGCCACTGATTTTGAAAAGCAGCATTCCAAGACTCCGTTTGGCATTAACTGGATTTTTCCCACTGGAATGATATGAATAACCTCCAACAATGAAGACAGCAATAGTAGAAGTTAAAAAGAAACAAAAAATATTGCCACAGGTTTTGACGTATGAACTCAAGAAGCAGGAACGGAAGACAAAAATATGATTTTCATTTCCAAGGAAACTCTTGACCAAATGCTTTCACAGAGCACAGAAGCGGGGGGGGTCATCAGATGGTGCGGAAGATTCTAGCACCAAGGAATAGAAAAAGCAGCAAGGTATGCTACTAATCTGACAAAAAAGGTGGTTGAAAGGTTTGGATTTTTTTTTTTTTTAACATAAAAGGAAGAAAAAGATTAATACCTTGTTTCTATAACTAATACTTGACAGGTGAAGTATTTCTGTAAGTTGCATTCTACCTCAGTTTCCATCAAGGGACAGGGAAATAAATATTGCTGTCACCATGACCTATTTTGGTATTAGTCTACAGTATCAGAACACACGGAAAAGATGAAACCTTAAGGTGGTTACGCAATAGCTTCACAATTTGCTGATACACTAAATACAGTTTGGTTTGAAACAAACTTTCCCTTCTCACCTGTGCTGCATATTCAGCTTCTTTGTCTTTTTCTAAATTGGAGTCACAGCTACATTTCTGTTTCATCACTTGGTCCAGTTTCTTCTCCAAGTCTCTCTGCTCAAAATAAAATTCTTCCATTCTTTGAGCATGCTCTGTTTGCAAACATTCAAGTTCTTTTTGTAAATTCTGCTGATCTTCAGTCAATTCCTTCATAGCTTTAGAGTTGCTTAACATTTCCACTTCCTGTCAAGAAAAATCAGGATCACATACACCTTGGTTCTAAGACCAGAAAAGTAAAAAACTGAATTTAAACGTGCATCTTGAAACAATGAGGCAAAAAAGAGCACATTTATCTACTGATAACAACAGCCTGATAACAGTATTTGTCTATTTATCAACGGTAGCCTTGAATTCTGTAACAAGCATTTAAAATATGCAGAAATTATTTATACTTCCAGGTACATGGAGCTTCCAGAATCAGATTCACAACTTTCAGCAGCAAACCTCAGAAAGCAGCAGCACTGATTTACTAAAATATACTTTGAAGATGAAAGACGTATATTATCAGAAAACAAGGATAAATGTGCTTGATTTCTTTTTCCACTAGCATTTTGATATTTTTTGAAGTCTGAATTATTATCTTTTTAACTTATCTACAAGCTTTACCTCTAACAGCAGAACAACTTAAAAGTAGCAGCTCTAGGGCCCTATATAAGCTTGTAGATTCTGAGCTTAAGGTTAAATAAAATAAAATAAAAAATTAGGTCTGGTCTATGAATGTAAGAAGCAAAACAGTATTTATCTTAATGCAGAAAACAGAAATGAAGCAAAATCACAAGTGAACACTAGCTTCTCATGTCATCCATTATTGAAAAAGATTAATAAAATCCACCTAAAAACAAGGGCTTATATCAACTAGAAATAAGAAGGCAGTGTTCTTTTTTATGCAGTGATAAGATCACTCCTAGAATACTGATGTCTGCATCTTCAAAATCCCCAAACATGAGAAATTTTAGAGGACTTAAACTCTATTTGACAAAATACTTAAATGTTTGGAAAACATTTTAAAGTGAAAGAAGTAGTTTTCATTTGGATAAAATAGAAGGAGCTGCCTGAACACAGTAGTTGCAAACAGAAAAGACACCAATTATTAGTGGACTCGAACCTAATAAGTATAAGGGATATTAAAGATTTGGTGTCTGGATTCAAGCTGGGGAGGGGGGTGTGGAATTATCTGTGTGTTTTGATGTTTCTAAATGAATGTAATCTGTGATATTGATTCTAGAACCAACAAGCTAGCAGCAATTTTCTGATGACAAAAGTGAAATGCACTCAGATTGGCAATGTACCATTTGAAGCTGCTGTTTCCGCCGCAAAATAGTATTTAGTTTTTCTTGCTGTTTGATGTAGGTTTTCATTACTTCTTCCATGATCCTTCCCTTGTCGTCTTCACAACTGATGTCTTTCATGAGAGTTGGGGACAAGGTTCGCACATCATTCCCTACTTCAACACGGCTAGAGTCTCTAGTGATTCTGGAAGAAATACGTTCAGATTTTCCACCTCTTGCAGAACGAGTTGACACAGGTGGGTCTATAAAGAAAGGAAGAACACAGCATAATAATCACAGAAAATTAAACATCCAGAATGGGGAAAAAAAAAAAAAAAGGCAAAGAAAATAAAAGCTTATAAAAATGTCAAAAGAATTTTTGGAAAACTGAAGTGACATGACAAAATACTAGCTCGGTTTTGGGCTTTCCAAAATTATATAGTTAAATATTGGAAAGACTTCAACATAATTTTTACTACTCACCTAAACATTTATGCTGCTCCACAGCAGTTTTCAAGTCAATTTTTTCCTGTTCTTCAAGAGAAAGCTCTGGATAGGAGGCAGCTTTTTTGTGCTTTCCACTACTGAGCTTCTTCTCTGACTGTCCAGGTGAGGATTTAATTACTTCCGAAGCTTTGACTGTTGTTTTTGCAACATCCTTATATTGTGATGCAAGAGATACATTCGGAGCAACCACTTTATCACACATATAAAGGTAGTAACTGAAACAGTAGAACAGTAAAATTAAGAATGAAAGGTAAGGCATAATAAACGATGACTGGTAGAGAGCAGTAAGTTTAATTTAACATGATTTCAAACTGTAAAAGTTTTAATGAAAAATAAGCATGTCCTTTCTAAATTTTTCCTATGCAAAAGAAAATCCTAATGACCCACTTAATCTTTACTGAGTAGATTATCTAGATAAGGTTTTGAGGCTATCAAACAAGAGGATTTTTCAAACCTGGCTCATTAAAAAAAATCATATAAAGTCTTTATTTAAATACAAAGAGTGAAATCAGAATGCCACTGAATCCAGACTCTAGCATTTTCATAATCCTTATATTAGCAATGGAGGACGAGGGAAGAGATCAGTGTAGTGGGAATGAGCATATTACTCTTTAAATAGCAAAGCTGTGTACTGACAGTGCTGGGGCATGTCTGAGACCAACGCCGGACCTTCTTTGCCACATATATCGACCAATCTGTTCGGATTGTCACAGCTCCTAGGAGCATCCTGCTGTACCGCCCTAACTTAACCACTCAGCTTTTGTCTGGTACAGAGGGAATTGAGTGCCAAATGTGTTAAGGTCAGTGACGGGAAATGGAAATCAGTGTCACGATGCTGGACTCAACATTGCTGCCTTCAACACCTTCCTCTCTCCTAGTTCTGAAGGAAGGAGTCGATGGAAACAGCAAACTGAGGGACCATCACAGAAGGTCCAGCATTCATGTGTTCGCGTGGGAACTAGTTTGGTGGGTGCGTGTTGCTTTGATGCAACGCTGCTAAGCAGAAGTCTGATCTCACCCATACATGGCGAATGCATAACCATACGGGGATGAGGGTAAGAGGTATGTCAAGAAAAACTGTTTCCCTCGTCCATGCAGATGACAAACTTTGTACTATGTTAAGGAAATGCACTTGGTTTCTAAAACCAGGAAACTAATCAAGAGGCAGTTCAGCTGTAGCCATTGTTCCAGTGTGGAATAAAGCCTTCAAACACCTTTTACAAGTCTTTTTCTAAAGGAAACGAAGTTGCACTCATGGTGAACAGGCCCTATGCAGCTTTCCACATGCACGCATTATGTTGTTAATAGGAAAGATTAAAAACTACCTTCTGTCATATCTGCTCTGAAAAGGGAAACTGTAATTACACGTCAACTGTATTGCTACTGAACTCTCATAGATCAGAGCTCGAGTCCCACACCAACAATCACTCATAAGCAGTTCACTACTATTTACACCAAGAAATGCATAAAAAGTCAGGGTTCAGCTATTCTTATGCAATCCCTTGGAGTGCTCCTAACAGTTCAGGTTGCAAGTACTTTTTTTTTCAGTTGAAATTATCTTTAAATAGCCAAAAGTATTTAACCTGTACTTATGGTGCTCATAGTTCTGGACAGGAAATTCAGTTACCTGGGATGGAAAAAGGAGGGTGCCTGAGAATCAGTTTCTGCTTCTTGCTTGATAACTGGATACCACTGTGATAATTCCAGGCTCTGCTGTGAATCTGCCTAAAGAAAAGGTAATAAATTGGTAACTGGAAGACGGGTACATGTTATTCACATTTTCATAAACACTCCTCAGTGGAATGGCATTTTTCATACCACTAGTACAGACACACAAAGGTGGGTAGCACCAGACAAACTGGGGTACTGGAAAATGGAGAGTCTTTGGCAGAGATACAGGGTGATGCAAGCAACAGAAGTTTCTTCCATCTCCACTCTCCTATTACAGGCAAAGTAGCAAGGAATTTAAAAGAAAGTCTCTTTACAAACATATACAAAAGCTCTGCTGAGTTTCCACAACTCTGCCAGAGGCATGCTGCAAATGCTTGGGAGAAACAGAAAGCAGAAACTAGGGTTCCCAAAAGGCTGTAGGAGCCTTTTGCAATAAAGTACCCATATCATAGTAAGCACCTGTCAGATATTTAATTATGAAATAAAACCTGTGAATAAAATGAAACAATTATTGGTGTTCCAGAGACAGAACTTTCATTAGTTGTCATGAATTTTTATTACAGAAGTGGGCAAAGCTGCTGCAGTAACATGACTACTCTATTCCCTTAGCAGTAACAAACAAAATTAAGTCAGGTGCATCAGCATATATCATCTTAAAAAACTTCTCTGCATTTTGTATTTGGATAGCAATTCTTGTTCTGTTTGTCTCAAGAAACGTTTTTGGAATTACTCTTCAGTCAAAGTTACAGGTGATAGTTTGTGCTCCACTGCAAAGTTACTATTAATTTCAAGTGAAAGATGTCTTCTCATATATTTAAACAAGACTCATAGCTAAGAAATTGATTCTTAATTTCATTGTATTAAAATAGCCTTGGGAAGCAGGTTTTCAGGTAAGGTGTGGTTGGTTGACCCCAGCCAGCAGCCAAGCAGCCACGCAGTCGCTCCCCCACCACCTCCAGCAGGATGGGGACAAAAGCAAGAAAGCTCACGGGTCACGATAAACACAGTTTAACAGGTGATGGAAAGAGAGAAAAAAAAAAAAACAAGCGAAGTGAAGGGTATCGCTCCCCACCTCCCACAGGCACCTCCAAACAACATCCACCCTGGATGCCAGAAGCCCATTTCTTCCCCTTCTACCCCGGCTTTTATTGCCGAGCATGGCATTATAAAGTACCAAGTATCTCTTCGGCCCCTGACAGCCTCTTGCCCACCCCCAGCCTATTCGCCGCAGGGGCTGAGCACCACACGGAGAAAGCCTTGACACTGCAGAAACACCCTTCAGCAGCAGCCAAAACACTGGTGTTACCAACCCTGTTTTAGCCACAAATCCAAAACTTAGCACCATCCAGGCCGCTACGAAGAAAGTTAACACCATTCCGGGCAGACCCGGTACCTTTGGAAAGTTGCTCATTTAAAAAAAAAAAAACACAACTATAAAGCTAAAAAAATTCCTACTGTACCAAAGGCTTCATCTAGCCTTCCAAGAGCTTCACAATTTCTCGTGTACAAGATGCATCATCAGAAAAGTTCATATTTACACACCCTGAATAAACTGTCGCAAAACAATCTCTGGCAGTGAAGAGAGTACCCAGCTACACACGTGTGGCTTGTGCCAAGGTCTGCAGAATCGAATGCCACTTGACCATGAGAGAGACCAAATCCCACCTACAATATCCTGCTTGAAACTTCCAGCCCAGTAAATTCAGCTCTAGCAATGAAACTGAAATTTTCCCCCAACCCTGCAGTTCCTCAAATCAGTTCCAATGCAGACAGAAAGGAAAGAGGGCACAAGGAAGCTAAGCTCCAGAATAGTAAATTCATAATCAAACCTTTAAATAATAAAGATTTGAAATACAGCAAACAATCTCTAGAAAAACGGCTTCATCCTGACACCTGTCAAGTTTTTTCTACTTATTCAGATCATTCCAATAACTGAAATAATGTACATATGTCTTCTACTTACATTACAGCTAGTACACAGTAATCCAATTTTAACGTCTGAATCACATCTTGTACATGTTTTAGGACTCATATTTTAACAAGTTTATATATTTACATATTAAATTATATATCAAGTAATCTGTATTTGCAAGTTATTAGGTCAGATTTTTGCATTCCCACCTATTTCAAATGGAAACCAACTGTACTGTCTACCCATTACTGTGCATTTTGCAAACGAATTACGTAACTCGCAATCAGATTTTCACTTTGGAAAGAAAATGACAGATAATCGTGAATGAACATGAAGTCTTTTTCTAACATGATTCCTTCCTCATCATCTAGGTTAATGAAACAGAGATAAAGCATCTACTTCTATATATATATATGTATTTCATTACCTAACGATCTGTTTAGTTTAGATGCTCTTAAATAATTCTATAAATGCGATATATCCAAGTAAACTTAAAATTGAATGACTTCTACCTAAACTGTTTGAAAGGGCTACATGAAAAAGGTGTCGTATTTTTCTTCTAAAACTATTTGTACACAGCTGTTCTTTAAGAAAAAAAAAAAGTAGTGGTTTCAGCCTAATAATTAAGCAGGTTGTTTTAGCAGAGATGAGATTTATAAAAATACTCAGAATAAATGCTAACTCTCCACATTGCCTGTTTTCCCCCACGCATGGTGACGAACTCAAGGAAGTGGTTTGAGAAGCAAGACAAAGTTTTAGTGCAGAGCAATTATCAGAAACTGTCGCAAAGTCAAAGGGAACGAGGATCTGGCAGCACGGAGACCAGCAGAGACTTAGTGACAGCCGTTCCCGTGCAGAGCGGGTGGATGTTACACTGCGGAGTCCAGAACTCAACAGAAAATGAGAACTTTGGTGGCAACCAAATACACACCTTGCAGCTTTCTTATGAGCACCGAGAACAGAGAGGCATTAACCTTGTGAGCACAGCAGCTGAGGGCCTGCATTGTCTGCTCTTAAAATACTGCAAGCAAAAGTATACGTGCACTGTGAGGTGAATAAACTGAGTGAAATGCTGAGGAGAAAGGGAAGGCACAGGACCTAGGATGCTCCAAAGACTAGGGGATTTAATTCATAATTTATTATTACCGGACGGACAAAGACCTAGCCAAGGGCAACTGTTCTTCCCAGGTCCTCCAAGATAACCTCAAAGATGCGTCGGCACTTGTGAGGACTGACTCAGCAAAGGTGGTAAGAAGGTGACAGAACAGCAAATGGAACATCCTGCAAATAAATTTCCCTGGGAGCCTAAGAAAAGGTGATGTCTACACATTGTACCCAATACCTCTCTCACACCACGGACATGAGGGAAAGCGGACTGAAGCAGCCCAGGACTTCCCCAGGACAAGGAAACAGAGGCTGTGTTCCAACATTCCCCTTTAAAATCTTCTAATCTTTTGTGCTTTCCAGATGAATATCCATGAGACAAAAAACAGAAAGAAGAACCCTCCCCACATTTTATCTTTGTTCAAGCTTTCACAGAGTTTACCTCTCATTCTGATTTCATATGCAGCTTTGTAAGAACGAACTATACAGATCTGCAACGGAAGACTCCAGAAAGAGTTTTTGTATTTCATTTGCACCGCTTCAGTCCAAATTAGCATTACTGCTAATTTCAGCGGGTTTTTTTTTTTCATCTGTACACATGAAACTGAAAGATCTCACAGTCTGAAGTCTGCTACCGTGAAAAGGGAAGAAGTATTATAGGCTTGAGTATGGAAGACTATTTCCACTGATGCATCCACCATACTATAGGCGATTACCTACACTGGCACAGCAAGGATAAAGACCGCCATGTCTTCAGATTAAAAGCGAAGTGTCCTTGCTATGAACTTCAACTACGAAGTTGCATCTTGCAACTAATTCTTGGAAGCCTGCCATATGGCAGACTTTCGTGGAAATTTTCTGCTAAAATCCCTTACTGTGGGCTGGCACAACTGTAAAAATACCTGTTACCACAGTAAGCCTTTCTGCAATACTGACCTTTCAGGAGTTTATGCTGGAAGTTGTCAACTTACAACACACCTTTTTGGGCTCAAGCACCTGGACTGCTCTTGCTGCTGTTTTGAAATCCACCACAAAACATCCAACAGGCAAAATGGATATATAATCAAACCTCTAGCCATCAGACAGACATATAAATGAAAATACACACTGAAAAGAAACAGAGTCATGGGGCAGGACCCATTTAAGAACCTCTTAACCAAAATATTGTACCTTCTGTGAACAGAAACATCTATGATGTTCAGTATTTAGCTGGTACTTGTCTTCTTATCTAAAGTAGAAGGTCTCTAAGGGACAAAAAAGCTCTGTATTTTTGAACCACTGCACAGACTTGCAGCAGTATTTTAGGAAAAAATACAACATCTATTATTAACCATTGTCAAGATACTGGCCTACAGCTCATTACTTGGGCTGCTTAAAACCCCCTCTTTTTGGCATATTTCTCTCTACAACTGGGTTAAACAGAAAGCTATTGCTGAACAAGCAAACTTTGGGCTTCTAAATATCAATGCACGCAAAATCATGAGATGGGTGGTTAGCAAACCAGGTCACCACACACAGCACGTGTGTGTGCTGGAGTAAAAATAACAAATGAAGAATTCATTTGTGATACTGGATTTTCAAGCTCCTTTCTGCTCTGCTCAGCTGCTGCAACATACACCACATAAAACATACTCAAAAGTCAAATGGGAGAATGAAATCTCCACAATAGCTCTGAATCTTCCAGAGACTGCATACTTCAGAACAGAACAAGAACCAACAAAGCCAAACGAGCCCGAATGAAGTTACTTCAGCCCAAAGAAATTACCGCACCTTTTAATGAGAAATGTATTTCCATTGTGAAGCTCTCTCACAAATCTAACTTAGGCTTGATTTGACAAGCATTCCCATTTACAAAAGGCAAGCAACGCGCTTCCAAAACAAGTATTCACGTGTGAGCACAAAGAGATTTGGGAGTTTTACAAGAGTAGGTGAACTTACTTTGGACCGAGTTCTTTTCTGATTTTTCTCGCTGAATTTCTCCTTCATTGCCTCCAAGAGATGCTTCAGCTCCCGCTCCTCCGACGTCCCTAAGTATTTTTGGTTAATATGCAGGTAGCAATGCCACTTGGCCGATTCAAACCCCCAGTGGCAGGTCCTCTTGTCCGGGGATCTGTGTGAATGCATCACAAACGTCTGGGGTGAGAACATACCGTAGCACTCCAAACACTGGATGCACGGGTCATCTGGCGCAAGGTAGAACTGAGGTGCAAACAACCCCTGGCACTTGCCCAGGCATTCGTGCTCTACTTCAAAGGCACTGCCAGACTCTTTCAGTTGGGCCAAGGTGTTCTTACCAGGGAGAAAACTGCCATTTTGTGGAAAAGTGCGAGGACGTAGTAAAGCATTGCATAGTCTCTGAGCATCAGTCAGCGTAATTAGCCCACAGGACGGAGCATTAAATGGAAGAATTCCCAAAACCTTCAGAATATGAAGCTGGTCAGAAGTGCACCTTGAGCAGTATATATACAGTTCGTCACACACCGTATTGATCTGTTGCAATGAAAAGTCTCGGAGAACCGAATTCAACACCTGAGGCAGGCAAAGTCTTTTTTCTCCTCCGACTTTAAAACAAGAGATGGATTCCCCTTCCAGTATCGTCTGCGTGAGTTCTGTGGAGCTGTCCGGAGGAATGAGCAGCGGACCAGAGAGTATTTGCGGCGATGGAAGAGGCAAGAAGACGGTGGGTGACATACTTTCCTGGGAATAACGAGCTGAAAAAGCTGCCGGTCCACCCAGTGAGCTCTGGCTGCTTAAGTGGAACTGCGCCAAGGTGTGTTTCAAACCTGGATTTAAATTCAAAGGCTCAGATAGTGAAGTACTATTTGGCTTGGCGGTTTCCCCATCAGCCTCCACAGGAGTTTCGTCATACTCGTCCAAGTTTTCCTTCTTTATTGTTGGCAATTTATTTATTACAACTCGTACTTTGCTATTTACAGGCATCTCTGTCATTGCTTTTTTTAATGGAGGACTCCCATCCTCCTGGAACCCACTCCTTTTTTGGTCTGAAACGAGACCCAGAGGGAAGTTTATTTGTGGGCTTTCCATTGCTAAATACCAGAACTTTAATTACGTGAGTCTTGAATGCACATTTTCCTGCTTGTTCATACAAAAAAACAATTTCAAGTGATCTTGACTACTTCAGGCACACTAAGTTTTGCGCTTTCAGTAACATGTTACTTCTTCAGCCTCCAACAGTAAAAACTGTAACCCATTCTGCAGGTAATACCATAAAATTAATAACGGAGAGGTTATTTTTCTTTTATAGTTATTTGTTCAATTTTCTCGTATAAAAAACCCACTGCAGTATTTACGCAAAAGGTTTTTCTTCACACCCCACCTAGGATTTTATACAGTAGTCTTATACAGCAATTTAGTAAAAAATGACGAGTTGATGCAAGAGTGTCCATCCTTGATCATTTTTTTTCCTTTGAAAAATATACTGTCTTTACAAGTAAGTCTCTACTTAAAGTAGAAAAATGGTCTCCGTTTGAAAAACGCCGGTCTCAATGCAACCGATCCAAAACATAGTTTAAGCTGTACGAAAATTTTATTCAGCGCTTTCAGCTCTTGGCGATCAAACGCAATCTTAACGGCTTGCTTTACCGTGCTGCCAACTTCATGATTTCACCACCACCACGAGCGTTACTATGGCAGTTCGCAAATAAAGCCCCGAATTACAGGCTGATGCAAAACTGAGCGTCCCCGGAGAGTCACCTTTAGCGCAGACGTCGCCGGTGCGTGTCAGGATTTTCCCACCCCGAGTTATTACTCAGAGAGGCGAGATCCAGGCCACCGGCTACAGGCATATCTTGTGCGACCGCAGGGCTCTGCCCGCTGGCCTGCGGAAAGAGGAAGAGGCCAGTCACCAGCGATGCCGAGCGCCAGCTCGCCGTGCCAACGGAGGGGTACG